ATGAAAATTTTGGTGGAAAAACTGTTAACTCGGGAACGGGAAAAGCTGGAGGCTTTAATTTTAGGGGTATGTTCCCCGCTCATGTGCGACTAAAAAATTTTAAATTTAGCTCTTCTAGCGTGGCCTTTTTAGGACCAGCAACTTTCCATTTGTCGGGTCACTGAAGTCGACACCTATAGCTGACACACCACATAGATGCACAATTAACTTCCGAACTTCGAGGGCCAGTATTTCACAGAGTTAGCTACATTGACTCCTTGTGATCTTGCTACGGTACGAAAAGTGCAAAAACGCATAATCGCACCGGCCCGCCTGGTGCGTTCCAGCCTGGTTTTGGACAGTTTACGATACCAAAAATACCAAAACCACCCATGTAGGTATCTCCTCATTTTAGCGGTTTTATTGGGGTGCTCGCACGTGCCGAGCGCAGCTATGCCAGGTCTTTCGATCATTAGCCGGATACCTCCAATTAATGCCGACTGTTCGATATGTGTGTGTCACTTTTGAGGAGTCGCCGGAGTGAGGGAAATGAGGAGTCGCCACTCATGAAACTAATAAAATCGAAGCTTTTGTAATCCAAAAATTAAAACCCTTTTTGTGAAAGAGCATGGGTAATCAGAAGCAGCCCAGGCGGTAGCAAGTGCCAGCAGCAATCAGTCGTTAGCAAGACTGGTGATGGTTTCGCTTTTTCACCTTTGAGAGCATAACTTCAACTGGTCCTCGAAATTTCCAGCTGTGCTTTCGGAAGAGTGTTGAGAGTGAAGCCTCCTGTTTTTTGGGCGCATAAATGCGCGGAATATAATGTAGTAATTTAGGATTTCTCGAAAATACAAATGTTTATCGCTGAGTGGAAAAATCATCAATGTAATACAATACGAGGATTAAAGGCGCATTTTGAAAATATCAAGCATAGCTCAAATGCACCAAAAAACGTCGAAATCGTTAATTCATAAATGAACACGCACGTTCGGATGATAGAGGTAATTTCTGCCCCAAATTCCGGCACTCCGCGAATCAGGCAGATTTTGATGTAGGTACATCCTGTTGTACGTGAACATCGAAAGTGGCAATCTGTCAATCCATGCATATCGCTTCGCATCTGCGGCACATTCTTCACGCCAACCAATCTGCGCATGTGAAAAGAGAGAAATAGCATGCGGAAAAGTTCATTCTATGTTCTGCGACAGGTAGCAGCTGCCAATGAGAAATCTTATCGGTGCTCCCGTTTTTAATACAGGGAGGTGCAGTTTTGGTACTGGCAAGAAATGTATAGAAGAAGTTCACAGATCGAGACACTCCTTTCTAGTTACATAGTTATAGATTTGTAAAGAAATTAAAATTTTTACTTTGGATGTATTTCCAAAATAAGTTGTATCTGGTGAGCCCTTTTCTAAAATAATTTTCCTCATAGCTTAGGCCGTCATCGCTTTTATTCCTGCTAATTTGTCAGCCTCTTTCAAATTACATTAAAAAGAGATCGATTTTAATGACCGTTACTCCAAAAAAAGTTATTGCCGTAAGGAAACAATAAGTCCATGTTCTTAGCGTTCGAGGACAATCAAAGAGTTTGCAGTGGTTCACCTCTCCGAGGATTTGATAAAATTTTGCGTACGGAGGGGTTTCCGTAAACTTCAGCCTGTCAATAATTCGTAAAATCTTTTCGTACTGGTGCGGACAATTCTCAAAGAATGTTGCTTTTGCCGTATTTCTTGCTTCTTTCTTTGCTTTCTCGGCTATGCTTTTATCTGGAAAAAAGAGAATTGAACGATTATGTAAGCTGTCGAGATTTTCACCGATCATGAAAAAAATCCCTAAAAAAAGCATCCTTCAACTGTGTTAGCTGGCAGACGTATATCACTCATTTCTCCTCCCATTCAACCTAGCAGTATCGTTTATTCGCAGTGAGTTCTTCAAGCAATATTAAAATTAAACGGTCTGAGTGAGTGCTGTATTGAAAAAAAAAGCCATTCTGTGAGGTTCAGTTATCATCTGATCGAAATTATTCGACGTTACCAGTAATGAGTTGCCATGGCAGGGAGCCTTTGGTAAGTTCGATGATCATGTACAGCCAGGATTCCATATCGTCACGTCTCGACAAATCGTGTTTTCGATGCGCATTCAGCGAAGCATACCGCACCGTGCCACGCCAGCCCGTTACACCTCGTGATGGTATCACTCGCGAATACTAAAGCACTTCTTTGCATTTATTGAATTTTTACTTTTTCAGTTTTTATATCTTTCAGTCATCGCCTTATTTTTGTTATGGCCCCGCTGCAAAGATTTTGGAATGCGCGCCGTGCTCCTTCGAGAATCTCGCCGTGGAGCGCATTTATGACACTAGTTTGCATTAAGTGCCTTTCAGGAGATACGCTTGTGAAGGACCAGAACTAACTCGATCGAGGAAGCGTTTTGCAAGTCCGAAGTCGAATA